CCAGGAGGTGCTGTGGGACATGGGGAACGGTGACATCTTCCATCACCACTGTGGATTCATGTTGGGACATGTGCTGGGGAGAGGGGTAAAGAGCTCATGCTGCCTCTGCCCACACCAGCCCTGGCTGTAACCAGGAAAAGGAATTGATATATTTAGAGATGATGATGTAGACTTTAAAATCCTGGGGATGGTGACTGTGACACAGCCCACGATTCCTGTGTGATGTAGGATCAAAAATGGGATTTTGGAGCTAATTTTTCCCCCTGGCATGGGAGGATCTGACTGCAGCTTCGTCCCCCTTGCCGTGACGGTGACGTGCACAGCCCCAGTGATGCAGGAGTGCTCCAAAATCAGGTGCCAGTGAAGATCCTGAGGTTCACAGTGTCCACAAACCCTGAGCCCTGTTCCTTCCATCTCCTGGCAGCCCTTGCTGCCCCCCTGCTGCCTGCTGAGCATCCATCCAGGAAAAGCAAAGCTGTGCAGGGGGGCAGGACTGGCAGTGCTGCTCTGCCTTGAATGCCTTTTGATTTTCCTCCTCTCACAGATCAGACCTGGGCGTCAGAAGGGGCCTGGCTGGAGCCGGAGCTGCTGCTGGCTCAGGCTGCGAGGGAAACGCTGTCTGAGTGGAATTGCATTAAAAACTGGCTTTTAAACAGGAGCCATGCATCTTCCCAGGCAGGGCACGGTGCCAGGGCTCAGCAGAGGAGCTGTCCCTGCCTGCAAGGAGCTGGAGCAGTGTCTCACTCACAGGGCTTGGCTCGGCGGGCGGCAGCGCTGGCAGCCAGGAAGGAATTCAATAAACAGCTCTGTCCTTCTGGAGAGCTCTGAGGCTGGAACAGGAGCCACAGCAGCCAGCACAGGCCGTAGAAAAAATGTCCCTGACCTTTGATGAGATCATCCTCCCCAGAGAGCTCTGTGCCAACCCCTGGGTGGCTCAGGAGGCAGGGAAATGGCACAGGGGGCACACAGCCCTGGGCACGAGTGCCACCTGCTTGGGGGACACTGCAGGTGGGCAGGCACTGCCCAAATGTCTGAGGGCAGCAGAGGGACAAGAGCTGAGCCTCCCCAGGCTGCATCATTTGTCCTTAGAGCCCCTGGCCCCTGCCAGCCAGGGCCATTCTCCTCCTGCGTCAGAGAATCCTGGAATGGGTTGGGGTGGGATCAACCTTAAATCCCATCCAGTGCTGATGCCTTGGGAAGGCTGCCTGAGGACAGAGGCTGGGCAGAGCTAAAGCAGGGATTTTTTAAAGGCCTCCATGGATCCACCTCGGGCAGCACAAGAGCCCAGCCAGGGCTGCCCCAATGTCCTGGCCTTGGACACTCCCAAGGATGGGGCAGCCACCTGATACCCAGTTTTAGGGGGATTAGAGTTCTCCATAGCAAGGAAATGCCAGAATCAGTCAGGTGTATCCACAGCAGCTCCCCTGTGCCTCTGCAGATGAAGTCTCGTGGTGCAGGTGAAGGGTTTCGTTGTGTCCCCTTGCAGCAGTGAGAGCACAGAGGGAATGACCCAAGGAATGAACTTTCTGCTGTCTGTGTTTCTTCTCTCTTGGTGTCTTGCTGGGATTTTCTATTATCACCGAGTCAGAAGCAGGTTTATGTGCTGGGAGTGTGATTGATTTCCAGCTCGCACCTTGCAGTGGGCTGAAAGCAAACCACGCTGGCTCTTGGCTTTCTTGATATTCTTGAAAGCAAGAAAAAAAAAAAAAAACAACAATTGAGTTTGGAACAAAATATCCCAGCAGCTTTCTCCAGCAAAGCTGTGCTGAGGTTTCACTGGGAGCATCCCAGAAGAAAACGAGATTTTGAGCCTTGCCTTTATCAGGAGCTGTGGTTTTACAACTTTTGGGGTTATGCCAATGGACAGGTTGAGATGTGTTCATTCATTTTTTGTTTGATCCCTTAGCAAAGTCCCACAATGCCAATTTAAAACACTTTGGATTGACTATTGGGCTGGAAGAAGGAAATATCATGTTCTAAAGCTTATAGGCTTATTAACCTCAAAAACTTGCAAGGTTTGATAGGCTCAGCTGTGAGTTTTGTGTTGTTCCATATGATTTTTGGGGGAAAACCAAAGGAAAGCAGCACTGAGGTTCAATACAGCATCCCTCCAACAAGGCAAGCAGGAGGGAAGAGATGATTTTGTTGCTGACACTGCTGCTGATTTATTCTGAGAAAATACAATTTTTATGGATGCTGGGAGGTTTTATTGTGGTTCTTAATGATTCATTTGACCTCTGACATCTGCCAGTGAACCCAGCCTGGGAGCAGAGCCTCTGCAGACAGAGCAGGAGACAGAAATGTCAATTGCCACTTGTTCTGTTCAACCTGATTCCTCCAGACCTGAAGTGGGAATATCTGCAATGGAGCTAAATCTCCATCTGTGTTTCATCATGCAAATCACAGGTGTGTTGTGTTAAACTGCATCCTGAAAAGCTGGGGAAAAAAATAACCCCCGGGGAGGGAGGAGCAAACGGGAGGGTTTGAATGCTCAGGAAATCCCTTTGTGTGTGTCTGAGGGGTGGGCAAAGCCCCTGGGCCCCGTGATGATGTCTCAGTGACCCCTGCCTTGGTTCCATCTGCGTCTCCAGGGGAGGTTCAGGTTGGATATTGGGAACATCTCTTCCCAAAAAGGGCTGCCCGGCCCTGGCAGGGGAGGAGTTCCAATCCTGGAGGGATTTAAAGCCCTGTGGATGTGGCACTTGGGGACGTGGGGCAGTGGTGGCCTTGGCAGTGCTGGGGAGTGGTTGGACTCAGTCTCAGAGGGCTTTTCCAACCCAAACTATTCCATGATCCTGCTGTTCTTCAGTTCCAAAGCAGGTTGTGATTTCTCACCTGGTCAAAACCTCTCTTTTAGAGGGATGTGGGAAAGGTGAGGATAGGAGGGACTGACCAGGCCCAATGGGAGATCAAACAACTCACAATTTAAAAAAAATTAAGTCAATAATGCATCAAAGTTTACCCCGAGAGTGTCAGGCTGAACCTGGAAACCCTGAGCTTTAATCACCAGCCTGTTCTGGCCCCTCATCTTCCATAAAAAGTGTTGTGTGAAGGTTAATTTCAGATTAAAATGGAGCTGGACTAAATGCAGACACAATGAGAGCTGAGCTAAGCTGTGCTCAGGCAGAATCCAGCCCAAAGTGATTTTCTGTGCAGCAGGAACACGGCCTAAGCCTCTTATCCTTGGACTTGGAGGCCCTGGACAAGTGGTAATGGGAGGTTCCATTCAAAGAGAGGATTTGCTCTCTGAATAAGGCTGGAAATGCAAACAGTCACCTGTTCTGCTGATGGGTTTATAAAGGTTTAAAGCTGCAGGCTTTAAATGAGGCAAATTTCATCCTCATTTCAGCCCTCATGGGCCTGGAGAATCCTGGAGAGCTTCACCAGCAGCCACAATTCTTTTAAAACCACTTTTTCTTTTTAGAAAGTAATTTCAGAGTCTTGGATTTTGTCAACTACGACGTGATCAGCACCACCATGATGAGGGAGAAATGGTCAGCCACAGGCTGAGATCACATCAGGAGATTTTGTTTAAAACTCCTGAAGGTTCTTCCATGCCACTGGGTTTGTCCTCACAGATCTCTGGCTCCTGGAATGAAATGCACTTTATCAGGAGACTGAATCACAGCATCGTGGAATCATTATGGTTGGAAAAGACCTTCCAGATCGTCGAAATGATCCGAAATATTGCAGTGAAATTTGGCATCAATTTATAGCAGCTCAGGTCTCCCCAAAGACCCACACCAAGGTCCCTTCTGGAGCCCTTGTCTGTTGATTTTTCTGTGCAAACTCCAAAGGCAATGCAACATTTGGAGTTTGTGCCTCACTGTGTGCATGTCTGACACTCTGTGGCTGTCAAAAAATGATCCTCAGTGTTTTCTTTTGAACCCTGGAATGGTTAAAGGTGGAAAAGCTCTCGCATCAGCGAGTCCAAACATTAACCCAGCACGTTTTTGTAGATATGGTGCTCATTCTCAGAAAAAATAAATGGAATTTAATGTTTTTCAGCATTCCCTGTGCAGTCCAACATTCCCAGACCTTGTGGGATTCAGCACTTTTACACCACTCTGGATCAATAAACCACAGAATTCCCTAAAATACTGCACCATTAAATTTGTTGCAGCAGCAAATGATGCTTTTAGACATGAAACATTTGCTGTGCTGCTTGAGATTAACAGAGTTTATTAATGAGATTAACAGAATTTATTAATCCTATAGAAGTTTGGATTGGCTAAGCTCAGTGTGGGCTGCGATATGGCTGCATAGTATAAATTAATGTCCAAAGAACTTTAATTGTCAGGAAAAAAATTTCATTTGTTGTATTTAGAACTAAGCACTTTAAAAATAATGTTGGGGGGAGAAAGGAAGAAAAAAAAAATATTGTTCTTTGTGTTGTGACTGGTTTGAGTATAATAAGACTCTTTGAGGAGTTTTTTACTTAAAATGCACTTTTAATGTTTCTCCCTCGCTGCCAGGCTTTGCAAGGTCTCCACCTGATATATTGGAAGTGGTAACAAACTCTTGAGATGGATTTTTGAAATCTTTAGACCTCTGACCAGGCTTGCAGTGATGACACAGAGGTAACAATAAAACCACTTGAGAGACATTTAATGGGACACTTTAAATGAAATCCCCGGGGTTGGTGATGGCAGCTGAGCGTGTTCTTGCCATTTTCCCATTTAACAAGAAGAAAAGGCCAAACAAGGAGCAATTAGTCAGAGTAAAATCAGCTTTGATGACATTTTCCCTCCTGAACTCTGGTATAAAATGGTCACCTGAGGAAGAACTGAGAGGATATGTGAGGAATTTGGATGTGGAGCTGCATGTTCACACGCACAGTGCTGGGTAAAAAATGAGCAGGTAAAGCCACTGTGAGTTTCTTGGTGCATGGGATGCTCTCTGTTCATATTTTGCTTGATTTTTGGTCCAAATTTTCATTAATCTCAGCTTTTCTTTGAAGTCTATGCAGGTTAAACTTGGTTTTCATCCTGTGGATCTCCATGACATTGGTGTGCTCGGGTTTCCCAGCTGGCCCTTCCATGGTAAGTCCCATTCTCTAATTACTCCCAGATCTGTTTCATTCCTCTTAAATTACTTCTTTATTTAAATTAATTTTGTTTGCTTGGCTGCTTCTTTGCTGCTGTGTTTTTATTTTTTGTAAAATGAAAGAACTTTCTTGTATTAAAGCTATTGGTTAAATATTATTACCTAATTTTCCTGGAGCATAGCCTAATTTTTCCTGGTGTTATTAATAAAATATGCAAGCCTCTGAAATAATCATGTGAGCAACTCAGTGCATATTTAATGTGGAGTGTGGGGAGCTGAAATCCTGGATGGAAGAGAGAAAACCACAAATCTCCTCTCCATTTAGTCTGAATTCCTTACATATCTCAGAGAGGTACAATTAGATATATATGTATTAATTTCACTTATTGCTAGTGAGTTTATCAATTAATTAACTTATTTATGATCAACTGATTTATTTAGACACAGCTGGATCTGAGTAGTAGCCCATTTCCTAATGGATGGGCTCTCTTTATGGCAATGATATCATGGTTAAAAGGACTTTAATTGCTTCAATAAATGTCAAAATAAAAGTTATTTGTTCAGGAAATCAAGTGAAAGAGCAGCTAAAAATTAATTAATTTCTCCGTGTCCATTTTTTTTTGTTTGTTTTTTTATAGGTTTTTTTCCTTGCAAAAAGTGTTTTCTCTTGTTAGAGAGAAAATTCAGTCAGGGAAATGCCTTTTCAGTGGCAGAAGGTGTTGGTTGCAGAATAAGTCATTAAACAAACAAAAAAATTAACTTAATAACCAGTATTAAAGAAGAGCAATAAAACACAGAATTAAAACAAATCATAATGAAGTTAATGGCAATTTTACCAGCAATTCCAGGTGTTAATCCTATGGCTTTGCATGGAATTTTTAGAGATTACAGAAGATGACTTTTAGATGGAAAATCAGCTGGGAAATCAGGATATGATGAAAGATGCACAGAGCAACCACAGACATGCCAGGAAATGGTTTTGTTTTATAATTCAGCAGTAATTAAATGCAGTTTATTTTAAGAGCTGTTGAAATACATGAAAGTTTTTATGTAGTTGACATTTTTTTGTCCTATAGAGGGCAAGTAAAAGGAATGTGTGCAAAACCCTGGATTTTTGTCCAAGCCTGGATTTTTATGCAGACTTTTTAAAATTCCCATTACTATTTCGTCATTATTAAACTTACTCAGAACTCCTTCCAGAATTGGTCATAACTACTGGAAAGCATCCTCCAAATTTTAGCTTTACAGGTATTTTTGTTTTCTCTTACCTGTAATTTAAGCCTCAGAAGTTCACACAGGTTATACAAAGCTGGTATTTCATTTTTCCCTGAAAAAAAATCTCATTTTCCAGCAATAAACACCTGTGTTGTTCCAAGGAAACTGTGTCACAGCTGGTCAGCATCACCGAAAACAATTCATATCACCACCTAAACATAATTGTATCAGTATTTTAGACCAGAAATGCATAAAAAACTATGAAAAAAATCTGATTTTGAGCACGATAAATCCTTAGAAGATAACAGGTCATCCCTGTCTTTCAAAGCATAAATTGCTTTTGTGTTTCTACTTTGCTCTGTATCCTGGCAAATACACAAATCCATAATTTTACCTTCTCTTATCTGTCTTTTTTTTTTTTTTTTTCCTCCTTGTTTGTTTGTTTGTTTGCCTATAATCTCCAGAGCACCAACCCTTTTTATTTGACCTGCCAGCTGTATGGGCAATGGGATTCGTGCCTGGTGCTGCTGAGCAGCTGCCTCTCCAAGGTGGGCAGGGGTGAGGAGCTGCCCCTTGGGAAGCCTCTCCTGGAGTCCCTTCTCCACAAAAGGTCCTTCCGCAACGGCGTCGGAGCGGGAATTAAAAAAACTTCCTTCCGAAGGGCAAAGTCCTGAGCAAATGTCCCAAAGCCCGGCCCAGGTTTTGACGTTTGATGTCAAAAGTTCTTGCTTTGAGTTCCTTTTGATGCTTTTCTCTGACGAAGCCACCTCTGACGGAGTCCCCAGGCGTCGCGAGCCGAGCGGAGCAGACGGGAGCGCTCGGGAAGGGCTTTGTTTCCCAAAGTTACAGTGGCGTAAAGTTTTGTCTCGAAATCAATGTTTTCATTTGCTTAATTTCCCTCCTTTGTCAGGCTGCAGGTTTTAATCAAGCTGCTCTTTGATTAATACAGAGATAATCCCGTGCTTTGAGGAGATGTGTGCACACAGCCTGTGGGGAGGACGGAGCATTCCCAAAATCCCTCCTGCCAGGCACGAGGCATTGCTGTGCTTTCCCATCCCAAATCACATTTACTTGAAGACAACTGGTAATTTTAATACAGATTTAAAGTACACTTCATTTCAGGTTTCCAATGATATGAAAGGCCACTGGTGAAAGAATCAGGCCCTACTTGTAACTTCCACCGGCGTTTTAATATAGTTATTTAAAATGACTTTGTCAGGAAATAGTCTCTGGAGATGTCTCATCTCATATCCAGAAGAATCCTGGGAAATCACTCTAAGGCAGGGTATCAGCACTGCTCCCTGTTTCTCAGTTAATTGACTTAGGTAGGCAACACCTAGCTGATGAAATGTGCCAAATCTGGGATTTTTTTTTTTAATTTCCTGTTGGAAAAAAAATAAAACAAGGAAAAAGTCATTTGATGTGAAATATGTAAATGTGGTGTGGAGGAAAGGTCACCTGATGAGTTACACACGTGTGAGTTCTACTTGTGGCCGTGTCCCCTGAGTGTAACAAGCTGTGCCCTTGGCTTGAAAATGTGGCAGAGTGTCTCTGCAATGCCTTTTGCAGTCAAAGTGTGATATTAATTATAATAAACCACTCTATGGATGTTTTCTAATATTTCCCTGTTAAATATCATAGCTCAGGAGATCGTTTTTAACCCTACAATGAGGTGGTTTGGTGTCATCACCTCTGTGATGCCCTCCCTGAGCTCATGGGGGAAAGCGAGCCCAGCATGGCGCTCTGCTGGTGGGACAGCAGGTTTTCCTGGATGATTTCTGGCTGATCCAAGGAGATCAAACACATTCCTGCCTGTGTTTGTCCAGGCTGAAAAGTTTAACACATCCTGGATTTTGAAGTCGCTTAAACACTTGAATTCTTTTGGGGTTGTCTCAAGGTTGCTGAGTCGAGTGGGAACCATGGAACCAAGGAACCATGAAATCCTAGGAACCATGGAACCCAGGAACCGTGAAATCCTAGAAACCATGGAATCCAGGAACCGTGAAATCCTAGAAACCATGGAACCCAGGAACCATGAAATCCTAGAAACCATGGAATCCAGGAACCATAAAATCCTGGAAACCATGGAACCCAGGAACCATGAAATCCTAGGAACCATGGAACCCAGGAACCATAAAATCCTAGGAACCATGGAACCCGGGAACTGTAAAATCCTAGAAACCATGGAACCCGGGAACCGTAAAATCCTAGAAACCATGGAACCCGGGAACTGTAAAATCCTAGAAACCATGGAACCTAGGAACTATGAAATCTAAGGAACCATGGAATCCTAGGAATCACGGGATCCTAGGAACCATGGAAAAGGCCTGAGGAGTGTGCTGGATTTTTATTATCCTTGGGTGCTATCAGATGGGAGCAAGCCCAGGGTGGCACCGTGGTGACACTGCAGCCGGGCATGGCCCTGTGTCACTGCTGGCTGCTGGCATTTCAGCCATGCCTGATGTCCTGCAAATTATCCATCCCAAACACTGTCCAGTTCTCTCCAGGACTCCCCAGGGAGCAGAACTTCACTGCTGTTGGCCATGGAAAAGGGAAGGACTGGGAATGATTCCTGGTGACAGAAGCAGAAAACAAATCCTGAATGCATGGGTTTTCCAGAGCAGCTGTGGCTGCCCCTGGATCCCTGGCAGTGCCCAAGGCCAGGCTGGACACTGGGGCTGGGAGCACCTGGGACAGGGGAAGGTGTCCCTGCCATGGCAGGGGTGGAAGGGGATGAGCTTTAAGGTCCCTTCAGTCCAAACCAGTCTGTGATCCCATGATTTCATAACTCCATGAATCCATTCTGCATCTGCTCACAGCTGTGGGGATGGAGGTGCTTTGTCCCAGGGCAGGGCTCTGTCCTGCTCATATCCCCACCCAAACTACCTTTCAAGAAAGCAAAAAACCCAGACAAATTCAGATTTGCCTTTGTTTGGTTTTTGAGATCCATTTTTGTTAACATTTTCCTACATAATCAAATATGTTCCTGCCTTGGTAACCTGGGATGAGCAAGGTTGTCTTTAAGCCAACAGAACTCTGCGTGGAGCTTGGAAAATCAGGCTCTTCCCTTTCATTTATTGTGCAGGAATGAGAGTAACTCATTTAGAGTTTTGGCATATGTCTTTGGCAGGGCATGTTCCAGAGGGCTGCAGTGCTGGCGTCCTGCTCCCATAAACCTTCATCCCCTTTTTTCAAAAATAAGGGATGCAAGAAAAACTGGCTGCTGGAAAAATCCCACTCTTTATGATTTAGCAGTCCCTGACAGGCCACACCTCCAGCTGGAGGGATCTGCATGTACAAAACAATGGGACCAGGAGGCCACCAAGAGCCATAAGTCACCTAAATCACCTAAATCCAGGGCAAGCCTGGAAAATGTGGATTGTCCAGCTGCCTTTCAGAGTTCTGTCACTGGAGGGCTGATGTGGCCAGCTCAGCCCACGGAAAACTCACCCTGCAATGCTGAATTCAACTCTGAACTTTAAAGGTGGCTTTGTTTTGGAGAGAACAGAGTGACCTCAGTGATCTCTGTCAGGAAATAAGGATCTGAGGGGGCCATTGCCAGGCACATTAATTTTTATGCTGACAGGAACTGGAAATGTAGCAGAAAATGTCTTTTTTTTTCAGTAAAAAGTGAACATGGGAACAACTATAGGGGTGCCAACCTGCACTGCAATTAATGTGTTGTCATTAACTTTATTTGTTGCTGGAGAACAGGGATTCATGATGCTGTGAGAAGATAATTTGTGAATTTCTTTAATATTTTTCTTGGCTAACATAACAGAAAGAGTAAAGATAAAGGGTTCAGATGGTGGGAAGAGTGATGCTTTGTGTGGGGATAGAGGAGCAAGTTGGGAAGTTGGGAATGCTCTGGCCAGTCTTGGCTGAGTAATTCAGTCTGTGACTTTAGAAAAATAATTTCTACTCAATTTCTCCATCTGAAAAATAAGGAACTGCCTTCATTGAGCCGTCTTGACTAAGCAGTGTCATGACTGATGGATTTGGGAAGAGTTTTGGGATAGAAAAGGGTGATTTCAATAGCTGGAAAGGCTGAGGGACAGGACATGAAGAATTCTTGAATCCATAAGGATTTTTTTTCCTTGCTTTGCTCTAACTTGTATCTACCTCTGGAAGCTTTAGACATAAATTTCCAGTTTTGATTCCTGGTTTTTGGGCTGTGAGAACCATCCCTGAGCTCAGCAATCACTGTTTGGAGCAGCCAAACTCGATTTAGCCAGTTTTGATTCTAGCTCAAACCAGAAACCAGATTTCCCTAGATTTACTGAGTAAATTACTTTTATTTTGACATTTATTGAAGCAATTAAAGTCCTTTTAACCATGATATCATTGCCATAAAGAGAACCCATCCATTAGGAAATGTGGCTACTCAGATCCAGCTGTGCCTAAATAAATCAATTGATAATAAATAAGTTAATTAATTTATAAACTAGCCTGTGCTGGGCCCTGGGGCTGGGCTGATGCTACCCTGAGATTGTGGGAGCTGTATCCCCATCCCATCCCATCCCATCCCATCCCATCCCATCCCATCCCATCCCCACCCCTGGAATGGCACCTTCCAAGGAGCAGGACGTGGCACTTCCTGCTCCTCTGCTCCCCAAAAACCATCTCTGCCTCTGAAGGTCTGAGGCTCCCACTGCTGAACCTGAAGGGAACAAATCCCATAAAACACCACCAACAAAATCTGCCCAAAGACAAGAAGAGGAATTAACACTTTTCTTCTTCTTCACAGATTATTGGCAAGGAGGGCAATTAAATAGCCTGATGTAATAGTACCTAATTAACGTGCAAGCCTGAAAATTCCTCGTTGTAATGACATCCCAATACTCGGGTTTCTGATTGCCCAGCACATACTAAAGTATGGATATCACATTTAGGCTGCCTAATTTGCTATTATTTGCCTGTATGTGGTAATTTATTCCCTGAAAATACCAAGAGGAAGAAAGGGAGAAGTCTCTTGCTGCTTTTAACTCTGGATATAATTTTGACCTTAAGAAAGAACAAGACAGATATGAGAGAGTATATTAGATGTTATTATTACCATAATAAAAGAGAGATAAAAATCATTGTGCAGAAAGGCTCTAAGACAACTATTAACCATTTGTCATATAAAGAAAATCAAAATTTAACTTATCAGAGAGTCTGGCACTTTAAAGATTCATCATGGAAAAATTACTTGAAACCATGGAGCATTTATGCAGAATGTCATTGATGAGCTGTCTGCTTAAATGTTGAAAGAGTTTGGGGAAAGATTGAAAAAATGTCAAAGATATGCCTTGTATCAGTCTCACCATATTTAAATTTATTTTTGGGAGTGAAGCAGCATGGCAGGAATTTTTCTTTAATGAAACAAGCTGGAATTCACTGTCCTACCCCAATGGGCCATGGCTGGTGAGAACAACTGAGATGAGGATGGACCTTGGTGACTGAAAAAAAGACACAGCTGAATATCTAACATCTCTCTGGGGCTGGGGTACACAGCAATTTTTGGGGTTAGGGCAATTTTTCTGTCTTTGTGGAAAGAGGCAGACTTTTCTTCTAATTCCTTCCCAGATTTGAAGTCACTGGGTTGATGATGGTGGAAAAGAAAGAGATCTTAAAAGCTTGGTCTGCTGAGACCCATCTTGTCAACTTCTTTGGTGTGAACCTTCCAGAGCACACGTAAGGGCTCATTATTATTGTCACTGCTAGAAATGAAGGGATGGGACTATTTTCAGGCTAAGAATGATTTATTGC